TGATGATTTGTTTTTAAACGAGAATATTAAGAAAGCCGAAAAGAAAATCTTAATAGCCATTAAATTGTTTAATCCTTCTGCAACATGCGTGGCATTTATGAAAATCTTAATATTAACTTAATATGATTTTCTCCGAGCAATACTTTGCTAGAAGCAGATATACGGAGATAACACTACATTGCGTATATAGCCAAACGTGTAACCGTACATACCAGCAAAGTATGGTCCTTCAGGACAACTCTGCTTCCTCTGCACCATACACCCAAAGATCTTGAAATATGAGTGTGCTCTGTACTGGAGTCAAATGATTGAAAACGTAGGATAACTAAAGATATCCCAGTGGCTGGGTGGGGGATCTTGTCACATTAGGACGTGGGTTCAAATCCCAAAGAACGTCTCTATAAGCAAAAAAACTGGCCTTCAGCTGAGCTACGATACATTTGGTTGACCAACTGACCAACCATACAGCTTGTTAAGATTATATATCTCGTCCTTTCCTGCACAAACTCCATAAAACCCGCGCCCATCGTCTCCCCTAATCCCTATATAATATAACACTGTAAATGGCCAACATTTCGCCAGTAATACAGGAAAGCAGAAATGGCCACACTGTCGTCAGTGGGACATAACAGTAGAAACCACACCAGGAACATGTAACTGTATACATGGCTAACATATAACATCAGAAATGGCCAGCATCCGGCTAATATAAAAAAAAACATCACATTAATAGCCAAACTTGTCCGGAGATTCTGAGAGGAAAATATGGAATGACTCGTGAGTAAAAATATGGAATGACTCGTGAGATGAAAGAAAAAAAGACGTGTGGCGAGGGCATTTCCACAAGTGGCACTGGTCCAATCCCAGCAAACTGTATCAAAGATCTCTTCACGAGGAATCCCCGCACAAATTACTCCCCCTTTCACCGGCAATAAAGCCCCAACACATTCGAAATCATTTTTCTATCAGGCTGAAATTGGCCAGAATTGCATCAAATTCCCGTACAAAAAAAAAATCTGGACAGAGAAAGAAAAACTAAACTCAATCTGGCTGGGAGTCAACTGTAGTCGCAGTGAGAGAGGGGGTGGGGGTGGGGGTGGCCGGGGCTAATAGGCATGTTTGGCCGCTGGCTAGGTTTCAAGCGCCACGACTTCCGTCCGGCCTGTCGGCGCTAGAGACAAAATGACCGACCAGGGGGAGAGCATCACCTATCGTCATTGGCAGACCAAGGGGGACCACCTCTTGTTATTGGCTCGTTAGCTCAATTGAGCCAATGTAGTTTGCCAATTCCACAATATTTATACAGAGATTTGCAAATTTGAGGGGAATAATGACGGCAGCCATTAGGCGAGATAACGCGATAATTTCTTGATTACTGGTCCATTATTGGAGATAAATGGCTTTCTAACTCGATTTCGTGGCTGGGTGCTGTCCCCGTAATTCTCATCTTCTCCCTCCGCCTCTTGTGTACACGAACATTTCACTCAGGGGCCAGAACTTGATCGCTTCTATGGAATTGTCTTTCTTGCTAGCGCCGCTATAAATCTCTAACATATATTTTACTGTTGCCGTAAAAACGTTGCCGTGCCTCTCTCTCCACCCTGCCCCCCACCCCATCCGAGTTAAAGAAAATTGAAAAATAGGGAAAATGTTTTTTTATGTATGCGCTAATATTCGTCTATCTATACTTTTCAATGCGGTGTTGTCATTTTACTGCTATTCTGGCTTTATATTTGTCAGCAAAGTGTTACAAACTGATTTAGTTATTACAAAGTGGTAAAAGAAAACTATAAAGAGGTAACAAAGAGGTAAAAAAGTACTTATAAATTAATAAGGCTCGTATATTCTTTTATAATCGTACGGGGGATGGCACTTTCGGTGTAATTGGGCTATAGAAATATACAAGTTTGTGGAAAAAAACGGTCGTTATTTGAGAAAACATAACATATTTCTTAGAATGTAATAATGAGAATATGATATAAATTTATCAAACTGAAGGTCTTTGAGAAATCCTAAACGGGGCGAAACACGCCATCCTAAAGACTAATTCTCCGCTCTATTATACACACTAAATAGAATAGAGTCGTGTGGAAGAAAAAAAAGAATTGCTCACAAAAGTGATTTTTAAAATCATCACATTCTTATGATTTTTTGAGATATCGGAAACAGCGTAAAGTACGACTTACAGTCACCGGAAATCACTTAAAATTTGACAAAATCAAGGGAATAGTATCTTTTACCTAGGTATTTTTTTTAAATCTCGATTTAGATTTTCGCACGTTTACAGTAGATCCTTTATATTCCGTATACGGGAAAGTAAAATGGTCACACGTAGTGTAAAGTAGATGTGTGAGGGTGTCAGAATATCAAAGAATGCACAACCAACACGATTGAGGCTAGGTATCACAGTATCCTTTATTTCTCTTCAAACGCGCCCATAGTCCCACATTAACCTGTTTGCTTTCACTCCAACTTTCAACTGTCCTCCGCATTCATTCCTACACGCCATCTTTCTCTCGCTCACAACACAGCCACTGTCACCCGACCAGTCGCTTCCCTTGTACCCTCGTTCACTCCGTACAACAACATACACGTCAACACACCCGGCCTCGCGTCTCACTACATGATACATACACGCAGTGATCCGTTCCACGTATTCATCTTTCATACACAATACATCACCACAAGATGTGACAGTCATTCCTGTGAGGTGGAGCATAGAGTCGCAACCATGCACCTCTCCGTCGTACTGGACTGTGGGCGATTCCTCCGTTGGGCCCACGACATTCCTCCAAGTTGGGCCCACGACATTCCTCCAAGTTGGGCCCACGACATTTCTCCAAGTTGGCCCCACGACATTCCTCCAAGTTGGGCCCACGACATTCCTCCAAGTTGGCCCCACGACATTCCTCCAAGTTGGGCCCACGACATTCCTCCAAGTTGGCCCCACGACATTCATTCTTCTTCTGCATCACTGACAAATGATTTTTCCAAAAAACAATTTGTCCTACCTACTTTCCCCTTTCCCTTGATGAAGACAATGTAATGTCTGTCCAGGGATGTTACTTGTTGTTTGCACGGGTTGGGTCTAATCAACCCCATTTTGGCTTTTTTACTTCTTTGCCAACATGGTTTGGTAGATGTGACTACGTTCTGTCAAATTTGTGACGTTTACTTGTTTTGCAAATAACATTCTGACTTCGAGATTGTGTGGATAGCTTTGCAATGTGTAAGTCCCTCACGCACCCCCCACCCCGTACTGCTCATCACGTCCAAACCAGGTAACCATAATATACCCAGGGGACAGGAGCAAGCGTGTCGAAAACCTCGTGTTTGGCGGCTGGTAACACGGGATTAAAGATTCTTAATCCTATTCCAGTCTGCCTGGCTAATGAGCTTTGTTTGATTCTGTAATTACTGTAATTGTGACGTCACTGTTTAGCTTTGTGGCGTGTAATTGTTTAACGTCAAATTGTATTTTCTACAATTCTTTCAGTCGTATAGGTAAGCGGAGTTATGGGAGTATGAAATCTCCCCGCCCTACCCACACACACACACATACACCGCCGCCCATGAACCCCGAAAATAACTTTCTATCGAAAATATCGTTGTTACAGATATTGACCTCAGTGTGCTCGTATCGCTTACAATGCTTTCAATAACAAACAATTTAAATGTTATAAAACATGTGGTTTATCAGAGGGTTGGGTTCTACTTACTTCACTGTATCTAGTTCTAACAAACAATTTAGATGTTATAAAACATGTGGTTTATCAGAGGGTTGGGTTCTACTGTATCTAGTCTTCTGTGCTTGACCTAACAAACACGCCCTGAGCAGCTTACTACACGCTTTGAACACAACACAAACACAACACCAAGCCGTGCTTACACAAGCATACTAAAGAACGATCAAGACAAATGGTATGTTGTCATAATTTATTGATTGTTGATTCAAGTAACAAATATCATCACACATAGATCGGGCAAAGTAATCATCACTAAACAGCCTATGAATGAACAGTGAAAAGAATGGATGATGGGCTGTTCAGTATGTAAATATGTCTGTTTTGTGTGGGGGTAGTTGGGGAACGGAACTGGGCAGTTGAACTTGATGAAACCTGGGTGTGCCTGTGCGTGTGTGTGTGGAGGGGGGGTCATCGTGGGTTAGCTTGTGTGTAGTGATATGAAAGTGTCCCTGTATGTAGAGTAGCCTATGTATTTGAGTATGAATAAATATTTTGCCCCAGCTGTGATGGGCTAAAGTTTCGACCAAACCAAAAGTTTCATGCTCAAAAAGTTGTCAGGATGACATGGGATTTCTCCAACCATATGACGTCACCTAACCATATGACGTCACACAGTCAAGTGACGTCACACAAAAAATGTGGGCGGACATTAAAAAATAAGTAATTACGTCACTGTACACAAAAAAACCAGTCTACATTGCACACCACAATAGATACACAGTTTATTGCAGGAAAAAAAACTCTCCGAGAGTTGAATATCAAGTGAATATTGTGTTTGTTCCAGTACTGATGTACCTCTAGAGTTTTTAAGTCATTCTTTACTGTCAGTACTGTATAGTTGATGTACCTGTAGAGTTTGTAAATGTCGTTCTTTACTGACAGTACTGTATATTAGATGTACATGTATCTTGAGGGCACTTTGGTCCTTATATGTCGCCTGCACATATTACATCACGTTAAACGTTAGAGTCAGGTTTAACACTAAGGTCAAACACTGAGCTAACAGAAGTCACGTTAAACACTGAATACACAGGAGTCAGGTTAAACACTGAGTACACAGGAGTCAGGTTAAACACTGAGTACACAGGAGTCAGGTTAAACACTGAGTACACATGAGTCAGGTTAAACACTGAGTACACAGGAGTCAGGTTAAACACTGAGCATACAGGAGTCAGTGTATCTGATCTCTGCATAATGTTCCTTGGCCTTCTGTCTTAGTGACTCGACACTGGACGCACTCGAGATCGTGCTACTTCCGGTCACCTTACTGCGCATGTCATCAAACGAGCTACTTCCGGTCACCTTACTGCGCATGTCATCAAACGAGCTACTTCCGGTCACCTTACTGTGCATGTCATCAAACGAGCTACTTCCGGTCACCTTACTGCGCATGTCATCAAACGAGCTACTTCCGTTCACCTTACTGCGCATGTCATCAAACACAGATGAGCTGGTGACTCTGGGCGAGACGGACGGTGCCAGAGATGCTGGAACTGTGGATGGGACGAGGCCAGACAGCGAGGGTTGAGCGTGAGGGCCGTGGCCTGGGTTTAGCATGTAGCTATGTAGGAGACCGCCGTACTGAGACCTGCGGATTGAACGAGCCAGTCAGTCGACAGCAGTAGAATATTTTTTACAACTTATTCCAATCGTTTTTCAATGACTATTCTATATACTCGTGGTATTCTAGTCTACACAAACCGCACAGTTCCCGGCAATGCGCCCATTATTTACATCAGCTAATTTTGTAATTGTTTAGTCTATGCTCACAGGTTTTTATAGCTTCAGGGAATTCCCGGTTTTTTCTTCATTTATCTATTAATAACATCGGGTTTTTCATAATTCCATTTTGTAATGAACACGTAAAGCATGTGGTTGAAAGTGTCTAGCCGTTGTAGTCTTTAACGAGCACGTACCTAGCGGTGTAGGCGGCCGCAGCAGCCTGAGCTGCGCTGATGCTGGGGTGGGACAGGGCCATCATGGGATGGACGCCCGTCAGGTTGGGGAAACGGCTCCCCCAGAAGGGCTCCAGGGACGAGGGCAGCCCGAAGGGTCGGGCGAGGTTGATCATGTCGCTGAGGGAGGAGGGGGGCTCGCCCTGCATGAAGGTGGGGCTGTCCCGGCCCAGGGCTTTCTCTCGCTTCCGCCATTTGGCTCGTCTGTTCTGGAACCACACCTGGAAGGTAGAAACATATGGCAGCTGTGTTACAATAGGTAGAAAAATATGGCTGTATTACATAAGATAGAAAAATATGGCTGTATTACATAAGGCAGAAAAATATGGCTGTATTACATAAGATAGAAAAATATGGCTGTATTACATAAGGTAGAAAAATATGGCTGACTGAAGGTAGAAAAATATGGCTGTTACAGAAGGTAGAAACATAAGGTTGTTACAGAAGGTAGAAAAATATGGCTGTGTTATATAAAATAGAAAAATATGGCTGTGTTACATAAGAGAAAAATATGGCTGTATTATATAAGATAGAAAAATATGGCTGTGTTACTCGAGAGCAATGAAGATAGGAGAAAATGGTTTATCTCGAGGTTACTGAGGTAGAAACAGGTCACTCTAAGACCTCTAACACGTCATTCTAAGACCTCAATAGGTCAATTTTGCTCCGTTCAGAATTGGACAACCATCTCCCCACAACAATCCTCCCACAGCCATCTTCTTATAACCATCTTCACACAACCCTCCTCCCAAACTTTCTCTACATCAACCATCCCACCTCAGCCCCACACCTCACCCCCACACGACACCACACCCAACTCTGGTCCCACACAACCACACACAAAATCCCAGTGACCTAAGCCGAAAACCTAATTTCCTCCCCTAACATTTTTCGGCCTCTTATCTCCCCTTAAGCCAGTCTTTCATTGATCCCCGCCCCCCATACCGAGTTTCAAATTAAACTTGAGACGACGCAGCTTCTTCTTGTAAACTGACAACTTCCGAATTTCGAGTGGCGCCGGCGTTTTAGTCTCTTTATTACAGACAAAAAGGCCGGTTATTTGGCTCTTTTATTAACAAAACAGCGTTTAATCACGCATTAAAAATAAATGTTTCTAGTACCGCTGAATCGTTTCTATAGCAACGGTTTTAAACTATAAATAAAATCTAGTTTCTTCTTCGATTTATTAATATTATGGTGGTTTTTTTACGCTGGTCTTTTTTTTTTTTTTTTTTTTTTTTAGTCCGATTTGGAAGTTAATTCCTAGTTGTGTCCCTTAGATTAGCTATAAATAGACTGAACGATTAGATTGATCTCCCTTAATTCCCCGACCGCTGGGATGAACTGCGCATGTCTCCGTGGTAACTTAACTCCCCTGTGGGCGCGTGCAGGTACCACGTGGTGAGCTTCACACAAGTTTCACTTAATCGGATTAATCGTTGATTGGGGGAAGGTCAGAGGTCAATTCTAATTATGACAATGGGAAAAAAAATCATTATTTAAAACACGCAGTCAGCTAACACAATGTTTATTGAAATAAAAATCTGGTCTTAACATGGGTTAGTCTCCTACAATAACATTTTCCTACTTCGATATCTTTAATTTTATTTTATTCTAGCAAGTTAATCGTAAAATTAATTACATCGCACATTATTTCTATAACTACTGCCAATTCACGAGTGGAGGGGGATAATAATTATGGGTTATTGTTAGAATTTGTGAATACGTCCGCACCTTTTGGACTTCCTAATGAAAGATTTTCAACACCGGAAGTAAATCTGACCAACGAGCTGGTATTATTTGCAGCTGACCCCGGTCATCTCTGGCGAGTGGACCGAGAAGTTAACTCACCCGTCGAGTCCCCGATATGACACCTCCTCGTCATCACCATCAAATCATCCGTGACATCCTCAAACTCTCATCATCAAATCATCTCTGAAAGCCTTCTACCTTTCCAACGCTTCAGGTGTTTCACACTTCTAGTCACGTGACGCCCGTCGTGTCCACGCCTCCACGGTTACAGCCACATGCAGCAGAAGGCTGCGTCTATTCACATGACCAAATCCAGCCGCTCTCGACAACGATACCTTCAATTAACCCGTTTAATTCCTTCCCCGGCCCGCCCCCCTGCTAGGCCCGGGCTCAGACCCCGGGGCTGTCTCCTGCTTTAGGGTTTTTGAGATCTGTAGTAGCCTCCCAGGGTGCCGGGATCCCCCACACCTTTGTCTAGCTCTTTAGGTCAAGGTGCAGGTTCAAAATCTCAACGAGATTACCACTGGAGCTGTTGTGTTCTGTTCAACAGAGCAGAAATTTGGGGTGGGGGGTGCTCGCGGGGAGGACTCCTCAAATGTGAGGCAAGACGGTGTGCGGGGTGCTCAAGGGGAGGACTCCCCAAATGTGAGGCAAGACGGTGTGCGGGGGGTGCTCGAGGGGAGGACTCCCCAACTGTGAGGCAAGGAGGTGTGCGGGGGTGCTCGGGGGGAGGCATCTCTGTGGTGAGGTAAGACGGCTCCCCGTGGCGTCACTGTTGTAGAGCGGGATCGAAATAAAACGGAGATCTAGTTGACAAGATGAGACAACAATGTTGTCCCAAGACAACAATGACATGAGGGGATGTTGTCCCCAGCCGACAGGGCTTGCTCCAGAGTACATTCCTTCTCATCTCGTACAATTTCCCATTAACAACTTCAGCTATACTAAGCTGCCCGTACATCGTCCGGGTAAAATTGCTAGTAATTTTTTTTTTCTTTTAGTTAAGTACGTGGGACATAGACCGTCACTGTATGAGAGCTGTGTTCATTGTTTGTTTGTTTCCCCTCTAGATGCGAGTATTCAGTTGTTGTTTTATTTTTCGCCTACTCGAGAGATAGGGGGTCGATCCCTTCAAGTTGATCCTTAATTTAATTTGTATAGATTTTAACTTTGAGAGCTATTGCCACGGAGCTTCGTGTAAATAACCCGCTTAAGCAAGAAGATATTCGAATATTCGAGAAGAAAAGATGTGTGAAGAGATAAGGGGGATGGAGTGGGGAAGGTCCGACTTTACTTTAATTTTCAGAGAATCAAATAAAATTTAACAACAATTTCTTCCAGGAAATCCCTTCCCCCCTTAGAAGAAAGTCTATATATTTTTTGACAGTGCCCCCCCACCCCCGAAAATTTTAGTTCGCCCCCCCCCCCCCCCCCCCCGAAATTTTCATTTTCAAGTGCTTCTTCCCCGGAGAAAAAAGTCTGGAAGAAAAACTGTTGATCAAGAACTGTGATCACAAGCACAGCATAATCTCACGGTGGGGATTGTGTGTACCGTGATCTATTTGAGGTCTAAAGGTGGGAATTATGTATCTACATGTGTATCAGTGGATGTGATGAATGTGTATGTATGTGTGTGTGTTTTTGCGTGAGATGGTAGGCTTACACACACACACACACAACTGTATTTACTTCGTGTCGATGTCAAGTTAACAAAAAAATTCTACTCCAAAAAATGTCAATTCCAGAAAATGTCGAGTTCAGAAAATGTCGAGTTCAGAAAATGTCAAGTCCAGAAAATGTCGAGTTCAGTAAATGTCGAGTTCAGAAAATGTCGAGTTTACAAACATATCTAGCTCGTATAAAAGGTCTAGTTCAAAAAACGATAATTTGCAAAAATTGTCTACTTTAGAAAAAGTCCAGTTTGTATAAATATCTAGTTCAAATACATGTCTGGTATACATCAAATATCTATTTCACAAAATGTCTAGTTCAGAAAATGTCCAGATAACAAAATGTCCAGATTACAAAATGTCCAGTTAAAGTTGATCTAACTCTGTTTCACCTGCACTCTGGCTTCACTTAGGTCCAAGGTCATGGCCAGCTCCTCACGTGTAAAAACATCCGGGTACTGGGTCTTCTCGAAAGCTCTTTCTAGTCGGTGTAGCTGGTAAACAGAATAGGGACATTCACAGAATAGGGACATTCAAAAAATAGGGACATTCACAAAATAGGGACATTCACAGAATAGGGACATTCACAGAATAGGGACATTCACAGAATAGGGACATTCACAAAATAGGGACATTCAAAAAATAGGGACATTCACAAAATAGGGACATTCAAAAAATAGGGACATTCACAAAATAGGGACATTCACAAAAAAGGACATTCACGGAATAGGGACATTCACAAAATAGGGACATTCACAGAATAGGGACATTCACAGAATAGGGATATTCACAGAATAGGGACATTCACAGAATAGGGACATTCACAGAATAGGGACATTCAAAAAATAGGGACATTCACAGAATAGGGACATTCACAGAATAGGGACATTCACAGAATAGGGACATTCACAAAATAGGGACATTCAAAAAATAGGGACATTCACAAAATAGGGACATTCAAAAAATAGGGACATTCACAAAATAGGGACATTCACAAAAAAGGACATTCACGGAATAGGGACATTCACAAAATAGGGACATTCACAGAATAGGGACATTCACAGAATAGGGATATTCACAGAATAGGGACATTCACAGAATAGGGACATTCACAGAATAGGGACATTCACAGAATAGGGACATTCACAGAATAGGGACATTGACAAAATAGGGACATTCACAGAATAGGGACATTCACAGAATAGGGACATTCACAGAATAGGGACATTCACAAAATAGGGACATTCACAAAATAGGGACATTCACAGAACAGAATAGGGACATTCACAGAATAGGGACATTCACAGAATAGGGACATTCACAGAATAGGGACATTCACAGAATAGGGACATTCACAGAATAGGGACATTCACAGAATAGGGACATTCACAAAATAGGGACATTCACAGAACAGAATAGGGACATTCAAGTTTACTAAAGCTTTAAGACATTTTTTTCATAAAATCTAAGTGGTATGACACGTATGTAGGAAGATAGTTGACCATACTAAAGTGAAATGAAAGACATGTAAAGAAAGAGTGTAGACTATACAGCAGGGGTTCCCAACTTTTTTTTTACTCTAGAGCACATTCTAAAATATCGGTAGGGTGGCGGGCAACACCTATTTTAAATCAACAAACTCCTTCCATAACTTGTCATTTTCCCATAATTTATTTTCTTATTTTTTTATTTTCTTATAGTCATAATGTATTAATAAAAAAAATGTAAAAAATTTTCAAAATAATAAAATTATTTGGCATTTTTTTTTCAAATTGCACACAGAGAAATGTATTTGCTAAACGTAAAGAAAGTAAACAAAACACATAAATACAAAGAACACATTTAATTAAAAAATATAATAAAGTCAATGTGATCTTTGGTATTGCATTTCATTGGCCAGAGCTTCATAATTAGGAGTGTATTAAAAATTAAAACTGTAACAAATGAATAAAAATAAATCATATTTTTAAAAAATGTTTATGAAAAAAATTCTGTCTCTGTCGAATAGTGAGAGGCGGGCACATAAGAATCGTTCAGCGGGCGCCATGACGCCCGCGGGCACAGGGTTGGGAACCCCTGCTCTACAGTAATACGACACACATGTAAAGAGAGTGTAGACCTACCTGAAATGTCGTGAACGTTGTTCGACTTCTCCGAATTTTTCTGGGTTTTCCCGAACTGTCGTCGTCCATGTTTTCGGAGTCGCCAAACTCATTCTGTGAACTAGAGAGAAAATAGGAGTCAGAATCATCAAACACATTCTGTGAACTAGAGAGAAAATAGGAGTCAGCGTCATCAAACTCATTGTGAGCTAGAGAGAAAATAGGAGTCCGCGTCATCAACATTGGAGAGAAAATAGGAGTCAGTGTCATCAACAGTTGACAAACTCATTCTGTGAACTAGAGAGAAAATAGGAGTCAACGTCATCAAACTTATTCTGTGAACTAGAGAGAAAATAGGAGTCAGCGTCATCAAACTTATTCTGTGAACTAGAGAGAAATTAAGAGTCAGCGTCATCAACATTACTCACTTGTAACAAATGTGTTTGTAACTATGTAACTCACCTGTAGTCGGAGGTGTTTAGCCGCGAGTGGCTACCATCATTTGAAGCTGGTCTGTCGGATGAGTAATGGTGATGGGGTGGGGATGGTGTCCCCATCCTGTGCGGGGCGGGGGACGAGTGCACCATCAGCGGTGGTGAGGCCGAGTGGTTCCGCTTGGGTGATGTTGGCGTCTGGCGTGATGGTGAGAGTGATGGTAGATGGTGATGGGGTGGAGAGCAGGTGTCGTCTGGTCCGTATCGATGGTGCTTGATATCCTGGTGGTGCTGGCTGAAGTGGTGCTGATGGTAGTGGTTGTAGTTGATGGTGTGGCTGGCCAGGACGTTGCTCGTGTGGTTGGTGTGGTGGTACGATGTGGTTGGGGAAACTGCTGGATACAGAAAGGTTCAAAGGTTACTTTTGAAAAAGGTCAAGGTTGAGTCGTCTAAAACTGAAAGGCTATAATCATTTATTTTAGTCACACATCAGAACCTCAGTTATACTTTAATGTTACAAGTTGTGAACTCGTTCAAGTACCTGTAAGCAAAACTACTTCCCCTTTACGTTGTTTAGTTGAATTTAAAAGTTTACAATTTTACTTTAGACATCTAAGACACTAATGTTTGTAAACAAGTTTACTGTCCTCTGTATTTGCGATTGATTATAAGCCTTGATGTCATTAATTGATTTTATTTTACTCACACAGACACCGGTAGAATAGAAAATTCTAGTAAAAACACACCTAACTAAGCCTACGTCTTTTGGTTTCTGTGTTGATAAAATTAATTTGATATTTAATGTAAACCCCCCCCCCCCCCCAATATAATAATATTTTCATTTAGTTCAGTATAGGCGATTTGTGTGTTTTATTTTTATGGTTGGATGCTTCTGTTCATGTTTTTATACTTGGCTATGTTTTTTTTCAAGTTTGTATTTGTAAAGATAACATCAAAATAAATCTATACTCAACAATAGATTATAAGGATAATAGACCGTAGTTCGCTATTATATTATTATATTGAATACGTTTTTTTATAAATTGATAGGTTCATCTTTATATATCAATAGGCCTACACAAAATTGTACAGAGAAATACAGTCACTGTTAAATAAATAAAAAAACATTAAAAAAAACATTTTAATAACAAGCTTTTATGTAATAATGCACACGGTATTCAAATACTCTTTATTTGCAACTAAATATCCATACTAAAATTTTATGAGCGAACCCCTCTTTTATTTATAGTAATATAAATTGTGGTGAATTATTCTATTTCAAGTAAATCATTTTATTTTCTTATTTTTAGTGCGTCTGTAACAGAATTGGCCCTATTTGTTTTTGCTTTTCAGATTTTAATATTAAAAAATTTCATGACTAAAAAAATGCGTGCTAAACGCACTGAATGTGCCATCAGTATTTTATTTGCAATTAAAAAATTTTTAATTAATTAGAAATCTAATTATGTCGAAGTTCATATCACATCACATTGCCATAGGATCTTGACCGACGCGTCAAGTTTGAAACAAATCAGCTCGGTAGAAGTTGTTGACATCACATTGACAAGTGTCTACCCGCATAGAATCGAGTTAAACGTGTGATGATTGCCTTAAAGATCATACTCACACACACACACACACACACAAACACACACACTAATTATAACTCGTTTTTAATTAACTGTGTACATACATTTTGGAACAAAACATTGGTAGGTAAACGTAGTCCTCTTTAACCATTTAATGTTTGTTTTCCTAAAGCTGGTAATCTTTAGTTATCATGTAACGTATAATCATAATAATCCTAAACAGTTTAACCGCAGTTCTTTCAAAAACGTTAAACCTTAGTTCTTTTAAAAAATTGTAACCCTAGTTCATTTAAAAACGTTTAACCTTAATTCTTTTAAAAACATTTAACATTAGTTCTTTTAAAAATATTTAACCCTGGTTCATTTACATTTGTTTAACCTTAGTTCTTTTAAAAAAATTAACCTTATTTCTTTTAAAAACAATTTAACCTTAGTTCTTTTAAAAACAATTATCCTTAGTTCTTTTAAAAACATTAAACCCTAGTTCTTTTAAAAACATTCAACCTTAGTTCTTTTAAAAACATTTAACCCTAGTTCTTTTAAAAACATTTTAAAAATATTTAACTTTAGTTCTTTTAAAAATATTTAACTTTAGTTCTTTTAAAAATATTTAACCTTAGTTCTTTTAAAATCATTTAACTTTAGTGCTTTTAAAAACAATTAAAAACATTTAACCTTAGTTCTTTTAAAAACATTTAACCTTAGTTCTTTCAAAAATATTTAACTTTAGTTCTTTTAAAAATATTTAACTTTAGTTCTTTTAAAAATAATTAACTTTAGTTCTTTTAAAAATATTTAACTTTAGTTCTTTCAAAAATATTTAACTTTGGTTCTTTTAAAATATTTAACTTTAGTTCTTTTAAAAATATTAAACTTTAGTGCTTTTAAAAACGTTTAACCAGTTATTTAATTAGAAGTCCACCACACCTTGCCATACATTTGACAGCAGGATAAGAAAATATTACAGTCACGTAATTCTAGCGGTGCTTGTTAACATCCAATATGAGGTCCTCAAAATAACATAACAGCCATGTCCAATAACAAAACAATATTTTTTTAAGCACATAAGAAACTTTTGATTTATCACATAATGAGATAGTGTTTCAACAATTTCCAGTCAAAGAACAGGACATAAGTAAATTATTAAGGCTTAGATTTGGTATATCTTCTTATCTGTGATGAATAATCTGTTCCTTTTTTTAAAATTAACATCACATATGTAATTAGTATAATTACAGCCGGTAAAAAATGTTTTACTGATAGATAGCCACAGTACTCGTATCAACACTTCCATCAACAGTCTTTTCAAACTTAGTTTCAACATGTCTCAACAATTCGATTCAACATTAGCTTTAAAATGTTGAGTGAACATCATTAGCTGTACACATATGCATTTTTACACACTTAATTAAAACAATACAGTTCGTTAGTAGGCCTACATAAAAGTTAACACACGATTTTAATAGGACATAAACATTTAGAAACACATAATCCTAATAGTGCATGAAAATTTATAAACACATAATTCCAATAGTACATAAACGAAGACAAATACGTAGTTTAAACGAAAAAAAAATTATAATATTTAACAGTTATTAATAACTTAATTGATCAATTTTACCTGTCAAATCAAGTTTAGATTTTGGACAAATTATACCCAAACACCAATAGTATTGTTTTTTTTTAGAAATTCTTGTCATGTTTTCTTTTATTAACGAATGTGGTGATTTTTTTCTTAAAACAGTTGCGAAAAATAAAATAACACTAGACCTATGTTTTTAGTTTTGTTCAAATGTTTCCAGTTTACAAATAAAAAAATATTAAATGTCAGCTCCTTTAACTACCCCTATAGAAAGCGAATGTACTAAACATATAACAATTTTATAATCACCAGGCTCGTTGAAGCCGGTTTGTTAATGCGTTAACTGAATGTCTTTAATATGTCTGTGATGATATATATCACTTTTGGTATTACTTAGGTCTGTGATGATATAGATCATATTTGGTATTAATTTTTAAACACATTTTTTACAATTCTTTTTTCAACTTTGTAAACCAATATCCATTTATTTGTGTATACTCTTACTAGTGTTGGAAAAAATAATTTAGCAATATTTTCCTTCGAGTGTATTCTTGTTTGATATATTTTGTTCTAGTTTTGGAACTAAGGACATGCACAAGGAAAGGATAACGCTTATCAGACCGCGAAAATATTTAGGTAGCTTTGTGTTTTGAGATTTATAAGATCCAAAAAAAGAGCGAACAACCAAATAGAATTCGACCAGATACATCACCAAACTGTATCCTTATGCTATGCTAAACCAACCACTAACGCTCAAAACGATGCCGACAAAACTGAAATTCTCATCAAGTTCAATGATTGAATCTGGCTTAACACACGCCCTAGATGTAGAGTGTAGACATAGTTTAGGTGTATGGGAATTAAACACATTAAATCTGGACTTAGACAAACTAAATTATGTGTTATTGTGTATTAATGGTTCGACCAACCAATTAAATGTAAATTAGCTGTCGTTGTAGTCTAACTAGCTATGGTGGATGGGACGGTTTTCACGTGAAGGATGTAATGTTTATTGGGCAAACTTGGGGCTGTATGGCAGCTGCAGTCAAGTTCGTGGTGGGTTGGTTTTATGTGTCGCCACAGCATGACTGTCACAGTGTCACTAGGTGTCAACATGTAACAGTTCTGACACTGTCAATCAGGGCTCTAGTTTATCATTGTAAAATTAATCTGTCAGTCAAGGGATCTAGCTTGTCATTGTAAACTTACTCTGTCAGTAGTGACTCTAGCTTGTTGCTGTAAACCTGCTATGAGAGTCAGGGTTACACCCTGCTACTGTAAGCATTCTAGTATTGGTCTTATGGAAATGTCTTGTCATGGCCATAGAGGAAACTATGTAGGCTCAGGTTTGGCTCTATGGAAATGTCTTGTCTTGGCCATATGGATATCTTGTCTAGGCCATATGGAAAACTATGTTGGCCCAGTTTTGGCCGAATAGAAAAATCTAGTCTTGGCCCTTCAAACGGAAATAAGTCTTTAAAGTCAGATAAAGAAACGAGATAGGCACACACACACATAACACACACACATACACACACATAACACACACACGCAAACATAACACACACATAACACACACACATAACACACACATACACACAGACACTGTACACTACCTGAATGATCCGAGTCGAAATTCGAGCCGTCCCCCGACCCAGGGGACACCTGATCCGACGAGCTGACCCCCAGGATACTGTCAATACTGTAGGACACGACTCTCTTGACCGGGGGTCGGGGAACTTCTGGGGACATCTTCTCCATCTCTGGCACCATCTTGGCCAGCTCTGGAGACGGTGTCATGGAGGCAGACGACACAGATGCCGGGGAGGCAGATGTCGGCGGTGTAATCATCAGTGGTGAGGTTGCTTTCGTCTCCATTGCCGCGCTAATACACGCTCGTTAATACAACGCTAATTAATTAATTAATTTAATATGTCACACAATTATGAATGCTTCCAATTTTCACAGAACTGTTGAGAAGATTACGAAACACATCTGAATCAAGAATCCTGTCTGCATGTAATCACTTGATTGTACCCTATAAATGACCCAACTTAACCGTCAAACTTTTGTCAGAAAAAACTCCAAATCCCATGGAAACTTGACGTTGTTGTGACAAGCGGTTGACAAGTCGGTATCATTTTTATACGCCTGCAATTCTCTGACAAAATGATCAGCGTAAGACAGACATCAGACGACAAACTACCGCGCTAATTACGTCATTACAGCAAGCCCACCCCGTCGACAAGAGCGCAGCAATCAATCAAGTCCTACGGACAAGCCCGCCATCATTGACTGCCTGCACGTGAGCGCGCTGATTGGTCGGCTGGGAGCTCTTCAGTTACCCAATAATAACGCCGAGTCACCGTTGGCTGCGGGATTAGCATCAGCTTCTAGACTTCCGGTGTAGGGGTTTCAAACTGGCGTAGGGGGCGTGGTCGGACAACAGGTCCCGGGGTTGTACGCTATCAAATTTAATCAGCGTCAAATTGTATTGAGGGGGATAGAATTAGAGTAAAGTGAGATATTAGACACCCCCCGACCCCCACCCCTCACAGCTGGTGTACGATCCAGCCCCTAGCTGGATGAGATGGTAATAAAAGTAGGTGTCGTCTGCTCGCCTCACGGCCTCGTCGTCTGCTGGATATTAAAAAGATGAGACCCCCCCCCCTACCTACGGCGGGGTACATTTCTTCATCATTGTTAGGCCTCTCGCTTCAGCCGCCATCTTGTGTGACGTATGATTAGTCGGCCTCTACGGGTACGTTTCTAGCCTCAGGTTCTGTGTAAAGGCTAGTGGTAGTTGACGTGTTTTTGTACTGAAACAGTCCCATACCAGTAGTAAAGAGAACATGAGTTAACTACGACAAGACGCTGTCCTGTTTATATCTCTCAAGACTGTGCTGTCATGGACAGTTAGGACAGCTAACAGGACAGCTGGTTGACTAAACTATGTGAGGAATTGACTGCTAAACACACGAGAATTTAAAAATGGTGCCTTAAAAGAGACGAAACGTGGCTGCATACAGAATGTATTAGGTCATATTTTCTTGGCCTTTGATTACATTTTCATCAACTATTTAGTGCCTTTTTTTGTACTTTACCAAAAGGCAGTGTGCTATTGTGGGAGGGGGACAATGGGGTTTAGTGAGAGCAGAAAAAAGAAGCCTGGCTGAACCCCACGTGACATGGCTCGACCCTGAACCCTATTCCAGTCTGCCTGGTTCATGAGCATTGATTACGATTCTGATGACTGAGCATTGAATTAGCATATTATGAACATAGGCCTACACAAGTAAGAGTACTACAGGGACAATGTATTACACGTATAACCATTTATAACAGTTAGTGGGAGAGATGTATTGAGGTGTGTTTGTGGACTTTTGAAGTATCCTGTCAATATGTTAGAGGTGGACTTTTGGGGTCCCAATAATAGAGGTTTAAGTCCCAGGCCCCATGCTAAAAAAATAGGTCTCTAAGTTAGAAATCTATAAGTGAAAGCTTTTACTTCGTTCTCAGTGTCTGTTATAAGGGTAACCACTATATTTAGTGTTGTCACTGTGTTTGGTGTAGCCACTATTATAAAGGTAGCCACTGTTATAAGGGTAGCCACTATATTGAGTGTTGCAACTGTGTTTGGTGTAGCCACTGTTGATGGTAGCCACTGTTGATGGTAGCCACTGTTGAGTGTAGTAACTGTGTTTGGTGTAAGACATTTGATGTGTTTTCCCCACAGAATTGTTAAGTTAAGCCTTATTTCTTGCTCAAAACGAAAGCTTTTATTATGTTGTTCAGTGGAACACCGGCAACCATTTTATGAGGAGCATAGCATTATGGGATTTACGTCTGGCTTGATTGGAGATGACTAAATTATGGATATAGAGATCGTCAATGATGCTAAGATAGATGGTCACCTTAATTAAAGAACATTTGGTGGTCAGCCGTTGACGAATCTTGTCATTGGTAAATGCATATGGTCGTTTTATGGATTGTGTTCTCGTTTATTTACGTAAAGTGTAACCAAACAAATCCACTTGAAATAACAACCAAACCCCTAAAAATTGAGCCGAGTGGCAGTTTATAATTAAACTAAAAAATGAACACCCTCTTCTCAAACACACACCCCCACACCAACATCCACACTCACACATGCTCACCATGAGTCGCTGCAAAAGACTGGCGCCATCCTAGGGGTTCTCTTGACGAGCCCCCCTCTAATATCGCGACAATGGGAGTCTAATTGTCGAGGCTGCCAACCACAGAACTAGCCTCGATCTGGCTTTGTCCCAGCACCCCTCAGCGGTTACACAACGCCCAAACCGGCAAGCTAATTGCCAATATTGTCTGGCCACTAGGATGCGCGGTGCTGGGGGGGGGGGGACCAAACACAAGAATGGAGAACAAATCAAGTTTTAATAACTCGTCGCTACTCCAACTTTAGACCAATTTATCTCTTTCTAATTAGCACATTTTTAATTAACACAATAAAGTGTTGAACTAGGGGATGAATTTTAAACACTTTTCGTAAATAGAATGTTAGGAAACTTTTTCATCGCGTTGTTCAATTTTTGAGATGAGGAAAGTCATGTGATCTGTGAGATAATGGGTTCCATCCTGGAGAGATCTGTGAGATCAATGGAGGAGGAGGGGTGGGGTGGGGCTAGTGAGGTAGTGGGTGGGGCAGTTGGGGTAAGTGGGTGGGTGGAGCAAGGTAGAATAAGTGGGTGGGGTATGTGAGGTAAGTGGGTGGGGCAATTTAGAATAAGTGGGTGGGGTATGTGAGGTAAGTGGGTGGGGCAAGGTAGAATAAGTGGGTGGGGCACGGTAGAATTAGTGGGTGGGGCAAGGTAGAATAAGTCGGTGGGGTGTGTGAAGTAAATGGGTGGGGCACAACATTCCCTCTAAGGGGAAAAGGCTAGTGTGCAACGTGTATTTTGTGTGCGTGGTGTTTTAAAAGTCTTGAATAAAGATATACGTATTTTACAAAAGGACTGCGCGGCAGGTTCAAAACTACTGCGCGGCCGCGCAACCGCGCAGCTTAGAGGGAACACTGGTGGGGCAAGGTAGAATAAGTGGGTGGGGCAAGGTAGAATAAGTGGGTGGGGTATGTGAGGTAAGTGAGTGGGGCACGGTAGAATACGTGGGTGGAGCAAGGTTGAATAAGTGGGTGGGGTATGTGAGGTAAGTGGGTGGGGCAAGTTAGAATAAGTGGGTGGGTATGTGAGGTAAGTGGGTTGGGCAAGGTAGAATAAGTGGGTGGGTATGTGAGGTAAGTGGGTGTGTATGTTGTCTTGTTGTTCCATACTAGGTGCACTACTCTAAGGTTTGTTGTGTTGTGGTACAGAACTTGTTGTACCGCCGTGTGTTGTGTTGTGGTACAGTACTTGTTGTACCGCCGTGTGTTGTGTTGTGGTACAGTACTTGTTGTACCACCGTGTGTTGTGTTGTGGTACAGTACTTGTTGTACCACCGTGTGTTGTGTTGTGGTACAGTACTTATTGTACCACCGTGTGTTGTGTTGTGGTACAGTACTTGTTGTACCACCGTGTGTTGTGTTGTGGTACAGTACTTATTGTACCACCGTGTGTTGTGTTGTGGTACAGTACTTGTTGTACCACCGTGTGTTGTGTTGTGGAACAGTACTTGTTGTACCACCGTGTGTTGTGTTGTGTTACAACACTTTTGTTGTTGGATCACGGTACTCTACCCATTGTACCATGTCTATAAATTTGTTTTTTATATTCTGACTTTAATTACCGAGTGACTGTTAAAACCAATCTTGTGTTTGATAGAGTAGACAAAATTTTCACGTGAAATCTACTCATGGTTTAGTAGATCCACACCAACATTGGTTCTGGAGATTTAACCCTTGAAATAAAAATCCGGATCTTCAACACAATAGTAAAACCCGTTTTACTCTATGGAGCTGGGACGGGTAGGATAAATGCTATAAATAAGAAGAAAATTCAATCATTTATAAACTCGTACCTCAGAAAGATCCTGCGAATTCGCTGGCCTAAAATCATGAGAAATGATGTTCTATAGCAAAGGAGAAATCAACTGCCAGCTAAAGTAGAGATCCTCCAGAGAGAATGGAAATGGATTGGCCACACACTAAGGAAGCCTGTATCCAGCATAACAACACAGGCCCTTACCTGGAATCCACAGGGCAGGAGAAGGAGAGGCAGACCAAGAAAGACCTGGAGACGTGACCTGGAAGAAGACACCAAGAAGATTGGATACACCTGGGACAGTTGCAGAGACTAGCCCAGGACAGGATACACGTGGGGACAGTTGGAGAGACTAGCCCTGGACAGAGACGTCTGGAAAGCTCTTGTCAGCGGCCTATGATACAGAAGGGGGGACAGGCAAACTAAACCTAACCTAACCCCAACAATGGTTAAGTAGATCCAACAATGGTTGAGTAGATGTACACCAACAATGGTTGAGTAGATCTACACCAACAATGGTTAAATAGATCCAACAATGGTTGAGTAGATCCAACAATGGTTAAGTAGATCCAACAATGGTTAAGTAGATCTACACCAACAATTGTTAAGTAGATCTATACCAACAATGGTTGAGTAGACCCACACCAACAATGGTTAAGTAGATCCACACCAACAATGGTTAATTAGATCCACACCAACAATGGTTGAGTAGATCCACACCAACAATGGTTGAGTAGATCCACACCAACAATGGTTGAGTAGATCTACACCAACAATGGTTAAGTAGATCCACACCAACAATGGTTAATTAGATCCAACAATGGTTGAGTAGATCCAACAAAGGTTGAGTAGATCTACACCAACAATGGTTAAGTAGATCCACACCAACAATGGTTAATTAGATCCAACAATGGTTGAGTAGATCCACACCAAAAATGGTTAATTAGATCCAAACCAACAATGGTTAATTAGATCCAAACCAACAATGGTTAAGTAGATCCAACAATGGTTGAGTAGATCCACACCAACAATGGTTAATTAGATCCAAACCAACAATGGTTAATTAGATCCAAACCAACAATGGTTGAGTAGATCCAACAATGGTTGAGTAGATCCACACCAACAATGGTTAAGTAGATCTACACCAACAATGGTTGAGTAGATCTACACCAACAATGGTTAAGTAGATCTACACCAACAATGGTTAATTAGATCCAAACCAACAATGGTTAATTAGATCCAAACCAACAATGGTTGAGTAGATCCAACAATGGTTAAGTAGATCCACACCAACAATGGTTAATTAGATCCAAACCAACAATGGTTAAGTAGATCCACACCAACAATGGTTGAGTAGATCCACACCAACAATGGTTGAGTAGATCCAACAATGGTTAAGTAGATCTACACCAACAATGGTTGAGTAGATCCAACAATGGTTGAGTAGATCCACACCAACAATGGTTGAGTAGATCCAACAATGGTTGAGTAGATCCAACAATGGTTGAGTAGATCCACACCAACAATGGTTGAGTAGATCCAACAATGGGTGAGTAGATCCAACAATGGTTGAGTAGATCTACACCAACAATGGTTAAGTAGATCCACACCAACAATGGTTAATTAGATCCAACAATGGTTGAGTAGATCCAACAATGGTTGAGTAGATCCACACCAACAATGGTTGAGTAGATCCAACAATGGTTGAGTAGATCCACACCAACAATGGTTAAGTAGATCCAAACCAACAATAGTTGAGTAGATCCAACAATGGTTGAGTAGATCCAACAATGGTTGAGTAGATCCAACAATGGTTGAGTAGATCCAACAATGGTTGAGTAGATCCAACAATGGTTGAGTAGATCCAACAATGGTTGAGTAGATCTACACCAACAATGGTTGAGTAGATCCAACAATGGTTGAGTAGATCTACACCAACAATGGTTGAGTAGATCCAACAATGGTTGAGTAGATCCAACAATGGTTGAGTAGATCTACACCAACAATGGTTGAGTAGATCCAACAATGGTTGAGTAGATCCAACAATGGTTTAGTAGATCTACACCAACAATGGTTAAGTAGATCTACACCAACAATGGTTACGTAGATCTACACCAACAATGGTTGAGTAGATCCAACAATGGTTGAGTAGATCTACACCAACAATGGTTAAGTAGATCTACACCAACAATGGTTACGTAGATCTACACCAACAATGGTTAATTAGATCCAAACCAACAATGGTTAAGTAGACCCACACCAACAATGGTTGAGTAGATCCAACAATGGTTAAGTAGATCCACACCAACAATGGTTAAGTAGATCTACACCAACAATGGTTAAGTAGATCCACACCAACAATGGTTAAGTAGATCCAACAATGGTTAAGTAGATCCAACAATGGTTGAGTAGATCCAACAATGGTTGAGTAGATCCAACAATGGTTGAGTAGATCCAACAATGGTTGAGTAGATCTACACCAACAATGGTTGAGTAGATCTACACCAACAATGGTTGAGTAGATCCAACAATGGTTGAGTAGATCTACACCAACAATGGTTGAGTAGATCCAACAATGGTTGAGTAGATCTACACCAACAATGGTTGAGTAGATCTACACCAACAATGGTTACGTAGATCTACACCAACAATGGTTAATTAGATCCAAACCAACAATGGTTGAGTAGATCCACACCAACAATGGTTAATTAGATCCAAACCAACAATGGTTAATTAGATCCAAACCAACAATGGTTGAATAGATCTACACCAACAATGGTTAAGTAGATCTACACCAACAATGGTTACGTAGATCTACACCAACAATGGTTAAGTAGATCCACACCAACAATGGTTGAGTAGATCTACACCAACAATGGTTAATTAGATCCAAACCAACAATGGTTAAGTAGATCCACACCAACAATGGTTGAGTAGATCCAACAATGGTTAAGTAGATCCACACCAACAATGGTTGAGTAGATCCACACCAACAATGGTTGAGTAGATCCAACAATGGTTAAGTAGATCCACACCAACAATGGTTGAGTAGATCTACACCAACAATGGTTGAGTAGATCTACACCAACAATGGTTGAGTAGATCCAACAATGGTTAAGTAGATCCAACAATGGTTAAGTAGATCCACACCAACAATGGTTGAGTAGATCCAACAATGGTTGAGTAGATCCACACCAACAATGGTTGAGTAGATCCAACAATGGTTAAGTAGATCCACACCAACAATGGTTAAGTAGACCCACTCCCCAACAATGGTTGAGTAGATCCAACAATGGTTGAGTAGATCCAACAATGGTTGAGTAGATCCAACAATGGTTGAGTAGATCCAACAATGGTTGAGTAGATCCAACAATGGTTGAGTAGATCTACACCAACAATGGTTGAGTAGATCCACACCAACAATGGTTGAGTAGATCCAACAATGGTTGAGTAGATCCACACCAACAATGGTTGAGTAGATCCACACCAACAATGGTTGAGTAGATCTACACCAACAATGGTTGAGTAGATCCACACCAACAATGGTTAAGTAGATCTACACCAACAATGGTTGAGTAGATCTACACCAACAATGGTTGAGTAGATCTACACCAACAATGGTTGAGTAGATCCAACAATGGTTAAGTAGATCCACACCAACAATGGTTAAGTAGATCTACACCAACAATGGTTGAGTAGATCTACACCAACAATGGTTAAGTAGATCTACACCAACAATGGTTGAGTAGATCCACACCAACAATGGTTAATTAGATCCAACAATGGTTAAGTAGATCCACCCCAATGTAGATCCTAATGTCGTCAACTGTTACTGAACAATACAGAGGGGAGGGGGTGGGGGGACGAGCTGAGTTATCTGGTGGAGGACGTAGAGTCCCGTGGGTAGGTGTTGGCGTCAGATGAGTATAAGAGGGGAGGTTGTCTGCGTCATGTGGGTAGGTGTTTGCGTCAGATGAGTATAAGAGGGGAGGTTGTCTGCGTCATGTGGGTAGGTGTTTGCGTCAGATGAGTATAAGAGGGGAGGTTGTCTGCGTCATGTGGGTAGGTGTTTGCGTCAGATGAGTATAAGAGGGGAGGTTGTCTGCGTCATGTGGGTAGGTGTTGGCGTCAGATGAGTATAAGAGGGGAGGTTGTCTGCGTCATGTGGGTAGGTGTTTGCGTCAGATGAGTATAAGAGGGGAGGTTGTCTGCGTCATGTGGGTAGGTGTTTGCGTCAGATGAGTATAAGAGGGGAGGTTGTCTGCGTCATGTGGGTAGGTGTTGGCGTCAGATAAGTATAAGAGGGGAGGTTGTCTGCGTCATGTGGGTAGGTGTTTGCGTCAGATGAGTATAAGAGGAGAGGTTGTCTGCGTCATGTGGGTAGGTGTTGGCGTCAGATGAGTATAAGAGGGGAGATTGTCTGCGTCATGTGGGTAGGTGTTTGCGTCAGATGAGTATAAGAGGGGAGGTTGTCTGCGTCATGTGGGTAGGTGTTTGCGTCAGATAAGTATAAGAGGGGAGGTTGTCTGCGTCATGTAGGTAGGTGTTGGCGTCAGATGAGTATTAGAGGTGAGGTTGTGTGCGTCATGTGGGTTGATAAACCTAGCAGCCTGTTGATAAATCTAGCAGCCTGTTGATAATCCTAGCAGCCTGTTGATAAACCTAGCAGCCTGTTGATAAACCTAGCAGCCTGTTGTTAATTAGATGTGTACACGTAAAGTCAGATTAACTTTGTGACTCCAGTCATATATTGATTTCTCTCAGATATGAGATTCCGATTATATAAAGTCAATCTCTGGCGTCAGTTGTTCATTTTCTGAGTTTTCTCGATCTAAGTCAGTTGTTTGTTTCCAAATAAAAGATTAAGTTAAACTAATGAGGGTTTTTTACATTTTAATTAAATATTAATCAGACTGAAACAGGATCTAGTTACAGCGATCGGTTTTTTTTTAATACATCGTTGTATGCTCATGTATTGCTTGATTAATGTGCTTTACAATTTACAGCGTATCCTGTTTGGCGTGACTAGAAAATGTATCTCTACCGTAATGTATACAAAAATTACAGAAACAAATATTTTATGTAAATTGAACGAGGACCAAATGTATGCTAAAAATGTATCCAATCAAATATCATCCCTCTATTATCACACCATCAACAGCGGGGGGAGGGGAGGGCGGGGAGCTGGCAGATGGTACAATCTCGCGCGCGCACCTAAAGTAGAAAATCAAATGAGACAATCAAATATTTTGGATGAATGATGAAACGTATGCTCGAGCCAACCTGTGCCGGCGTGAGGTGTGAGATCGGGGCCTAATGAGACGGACTTAATGCAGTGTTGATTTCAGATGAAAGACCGCTGGATTAGCCAGACAATGGGATAATCCATCCGGTGAAACCGTGGCTTGGGGGGAGGGGGGGACGTGCTCACTGAAAATCTAATAAAACAATCGGGAGAATGTAAATGGGAATGTAAGACTTGCTCGCCAGATAACATTTATTAATACAATTTAAATGAGTCGGGGTGAGTAATATTTTTCTGGAGTGTCGTGATATCGACAGGTGAACAGACTAACTAGAGATGGGAGATTTGCAATGAGCCATCAGTCGAGATGGAAGATGGGTCATGTGGTAGAGCAATGAGCAAACCTACTAGATGAAAGTGCAATGAGCCAACACACTAGATGTACATACAATGAGCCAACCCACTAGATGTAAGTGCAATCAGCCAACCCACTAGATGTAAGTGCAATGAACCAACCCACTAGATGTAAGTGTAATGAGCCAACCCAATAGATGTAAGTGCAATGAGCCAACCCACTAGATGTAAGTGCAATGAGCCAACCCAATAGATGTAAGTACAATGAGCCAACCCAATAGATGTAAGTGCAATGAGCCAATCCACTAGATGTAAGTGCAATGAGCCAACCCAATAGATGTAAGTGCAATGAGCCAACCCACTAGATGTAAGTGCAATGAGCCAACCCACTAGATGTAAGTGCAATGAGCCAACCCACTATATGTAAGTGCAATGAGCCAACCCACTAGATTTAAGTGCAATGAGCCAACCCACTAGATTTAAGTGCAATGAGCCAACCCACTAGATGTAAGTGCAATGAGCCAACCCACTAGATGTAAGTGCAATGAGCCAACCCACTATATGTAAGTGCAATGAGCCAACCCACTAGATTTAAGTGCAATGAGCCAACCCACTAGATGTAAGTGCAATCAGCCAACCCACTATATGTAAGTGCAATGAGCCAACCCACTAGATTTAAGTGCAATGAGCCAACCCACTAGATGTAAGTGCAATGAGCCAACCCACTAGATTTAAGTACAATGAACCAACCCACTAGATGTAAGTGCAATGAACCAACCCACTAGATTTAAGTGCAATGAGCCAACCCAAAAGATGTAAGTGCAATGAGCCTATCCAAAAGATGTGCATATTATGAGCCAACACACTAGATGTGCATACAATGAGCCAACCGGGTCTACGACAAATTCCCGAAAGACACTTACCCGAATGCCGTTTGCCCAAAGGCCGATTTCCCGAATGGACACTTGCCCGAATGCGACAAATGCCCGAATGGACAAATGCCCGAATGGACACTTGCCCGAATGGGACAAATGCCCGAATGGACACTTGCCCGAATGCGACAAATGCCCGAATGGACAAATGCCCGAATGGACACTTGCCCGATTGCGACAAATGCCCGAAAGCCACTTGCTCGAAGGCCGTTTGCCCGAAAAATGTAAATATTAACTAGAACTTTGTATTACCAATTAAACATTCTTAATCAATTCAAATTTGATAAATATCACACATATGTTTATATTTATAAAATTTAACTTTAATTCTTTTTTAAACCTACGAGATGTACATACAATGAGCCAACCTACTATGAGCCACCATACAATGAGCCAACCTACTATGAGCCACCATACAATGAGCCAACCTACTATGAGCCACCATACAATGAGCCAACCTACTATGAGCCACCATACAATGAGCCAACCTACTATGAGCCACCATACAATGAGCCAACCTACTATGAGCCACCATACAATGAGCCAACCTACAATGAGCCAACATACAATGAGCCAACCTACTATGAGCCACCATACAATGAGCCAACCTACAATGAGCCACCTTACTATGAGCCACCATACAATGAGCCAACCTACAATGAGCCAACCTACTATGAGCCACCATACAATGAGCCAACCTACTATGAGCCACCATACAATGAGCCAACCTACTATGAGCCACCATACAATGAGCCAACTTACAATGAGCCACCATACAATGAGCCAACCTACTATGAGCCACCATACAATGAGCCAACCTACTATGAGCCACCATACAATGAGCCAACCTACTATGAGCCACCATACAATGAGCCAACCTACTATGAGCCACCATACAATGAGCCAACCTACTATGAGCCACCATACAATGAGCCAACCTACTATGAGCCACCATACAATGAGCCAACTTACAATGAGCCACCATACAATGAGCCAACCTACTATGAGCCACCATACAATGAGCCAACTTACAATGAGCCACCATACAATGAGCCAACCTACTATGAGCCACCATACAATGAGCCAACCTACTATGAGCCAACCTACTATGAGCCACCCTACAATGAGCCACCCTACAATGAGCCAACCTACTATGAGCCACCATACTATGAGCCAACCTACTATGAGCCACCATACAATGAGCCAATCTACTATGAGCCACCTTACAATGAGCCAACCTACTATGAGCCACCATACAATGAGCCAACCTACTATGAGCCACCATACAATGAGCCACCCACTAGATGTGCATACAATGAGCCAACCTACTATGAGCCACCCTACAATGAGCCAACCTACTGTGGGCCACCATACAATGAGCCACCCTACAATGAGCCAACCTACTGTGGGCCACCATACAATGAGCCAACCTACTATGAGCCACCCTACAATGAGCCACCCTACAATGAGCCACCCTACAATGAGCCACCCTACAATGAGCCACCATACAATGAGCCAACCTACTGTGGGCCACCATACAATGAGCCACCCTACAATGAGCCAACCTACTATGAGCCACCCTACAATGAGCCACCCTACAATGAGCCACCCTACAATGAGCCAACCTACTATGAGCCACCCTACAATGAGCCACCCTACAATGAGCCACCCTACAATGAGCCACCCTACAATGAGCCACCCTACAATGAGCCACCCTACAATGAGCCACCATACAATGAGCCAACCTACTATGAGCCACCATACAATGAGCCAACCTACTATGAGCCACCATACAATGAGCCAACCTACTATGAGCCACCATACAATGAGCCAACCTACTATGAGCCACCATACAATGAGCCAACCTACTATGAGCCACCATACAATGAGCCAACCTACTATGAGCCACCATACAATGAGCCAACCTACTATGAGCCACCATACAATGAGCCAACCTACTATGAGCCACCATACAATGAGCCAACCTACAATGAGCCAACATACAATGAGCCAACCTACTATGAGCCACCATACAATGAGCCAACCTACAATGAGCCACCTTACTATGAGCCACCATACAATGAGCCAACCTACAATGAGCCAACCTACTATGAGCCACCATACAATGAGCCAACCTACTATGAGCCACCATACAATGAGCCAACCTACTATGAGCCACCATACAATGAGCCAACTTACAATGAGCCACCATACAATGAGCCAACCTACTATGAGCCACCATACAATGAGCCAACCTACTATGAGCCACCATACAATGAGCCAACCTACTATGAGCCACCATACAATGAGCCAACCTACTATGAGCCACCATACAATGAGCCAACCTACTATGAGCCACCATACAATGAGCCAACCTACTATGAGCCACCATACAATGAGCCAACTTACAATGAGCCACCATACAATGAGCCAACCTACTATGAGCCACCATACAATGAGCCAACCTACTATGAGCCAACCTACTATGAGCCAACCTACTATGAGCCACCATACAATGAGCCAATCTACTATGAGCCACCATACTATGAGCCAACCTACTATGAGCCACCATACAATGAGCCAACCTACTAGGAGCCACCATACAATGAGCCAACCTACTATGAGCCACCATACAATGAGCCACCCACTAGATGTGCATACAATGAGCCAACCTACTATGAGCCACCCTACAATGAGCCAACCTACTGTGGGCCACCATACAATGAGCCACCCTACAATGAGCCAACCTACTGTGGGCCACCATACAATGAGCCAACCTACTATGAGCCACCCTACAATGAGCCACCCTACAATGAGCCACCCTACAATGAGCCACCCTACAATGAGCCACCATACAATGAGCCAACCTACTGTGGGCCACCATACAATGAGCCACCCTACAATGAGCCAACCTACTATGAGCCACCCTACAATGAGCCACCCTACAATGAGCCACCCTACAATGAGCCAACCTACTGTGGGCCACCATACAATGAGCCAACCTACTATGAGCCACCCTACAATGAGCCACCCTACAATGAGCCACCCTACAATGAGCCACCCTACAATGAGCCACCCTACAATGAGCCACCCTACAATGAGCCACCATACAACGAGCCACCATACAATGAGCCACCCTACAATGAGCCAACCTACTATGAGCCACCAAGATTAATGTGACAAACAAGTGCTTGAGACGGCCAACAAACATCTGGTGTGTGTCACGTGATACCCGTGATGATCACGTGACTTGTGCTATTAGGTTTCGCATGATTGATTTATTAAAGTCACGCTGTCACGCGTGGTTGTTAGGCTCGGCCTTGTTAATCTCCGTTTTTAGGAGTTAGATCCTTATGTGTGGGTTAGCTCTCTGGATTAGCTCTTCCTGTGTTGTTTTGCTCTTTTTGTTTATGTGGGGGCAACACACCACCACACCACCACAGGGCCACACAACCTCACCACCACAGGGCCGCAACACCACACCACCACACCACCACACCACCACACCACCACAGGGCCGCAACACCACACCATCACACCACCACAGGGCCACACAACCTCACCACCACACCACCACACCACCACAGGGCCGCAACACCACACCACCACACCACCACACCACCACACCACCACACCACCACACCACCACACCACCACACCACCACAGGGCCGCAACACCACACCACCACAGGGCCACACAACCTCACCACCACACCACCACAGGGCCGCAACACCACACCACCACACCACCACACCACCACACCACCACACCACCACAGGGCCGCAACACCACACCACCACACCACCATACCACCACACCGCCACACCACCACACCGCCACACCGCCACACCACCACACCGCATCACGTACGGCACATCAGCAACATTTAACGTTCTCGGATATTTATTAATCAGTTTATAACAAACCCGTTCTCTTAGCATACATTTTGCCCCTCCCCTTTACCCTGTTCTTACCCAGCCGAATTCCCCCCCCCCCTCTCTCTCTCTCTCTCTCTCTCTCTCTCTCTCTTTATCCGGTGTTAAACATGTATTCAACATTAAACCCCATCACCTTCCACTGAACCTAAAAACCCCCACACTCAAACCCATCCCTACCCCCATAATCGACAGGGTGGTCAGAGCTGGGTATTCATTAGAGCTGGGTACTCATCAGAGCTGGGTACTCATCAGAGCTGGGTACTCATCAGAGCTGGGTACTCAAAAGAGCTGGGTACTCACTAGAGTTGGGTACTCATGTGAGCTGGGTACTCATCAGAGCTGGGTACTCATCAGAGCTGTGTACTCATAAGAGCTGGGTACTTATCAGAGCTGGGTACTCATCAGAGCTGGGTATTCATCAGAGCTGGGTACTCACTAGAGTTGGGTACTCATCACAGACTTTCGGACTAACAGTGGTGCGCTCTACAACTTGACCACGCAGTCCCATAGCAACATCCCCCCACCCTCCCCCCCCCCCCCTCTCCAAAACAAAATTCCCAGCAATAATCAGACAATATTAGTTTCCACTCCCCCCTTCCCCGCCGACTCTAGCGCAACCTCCTCAGCACTCCCACTACCCCGTATTTAACGCAGTTGTTCCCCAGCTCCCGCTCTCCCCCCCCCCCCCCCCCCCACCCCTCGAGTACTATTCAGCCCCCTCTCCCCACCCCCACCCCTCAAGTACTATTCAGACCCCCCCCCCCTCCTGACCGACCACGCGATCTGCCACCACCACGCGCTCGCCCATCAAAGCCTCGCCAGGCTCGTGTGTGACGCTGACGCTCGCCTCGCCGTGACGCTGACTCTGGTCGTGGCTGTGACGCTGACGAGAGTTAAAGAAACAGGACCGCTTAACTCACGGTCTAGAAATTATCTCCAATTCATTTGGGCCCTTTCTCCCCGCTCACCGCCGGCTAAATCAGTTTAATAAACTGTCCGGCTCGCCTGCCTGGCTATTAGCGGGCTCTATTGTCATCCATTACTGCTTGCGGCTAACGTTCTTTTCAATTTCATCACTTTCCCTCTCCCCCCCCCCCCCCCCACCCCACCCACCTCCTCTCAATACCGCCTCGCTTCAACCCTCTGTTTTCCCTGATTCCTTTTTTTAAATGCCCATTGAATTCTTCCAAATTCTGGTTTTCTTATTGGCTACAATTACATGGGGGATAACTCCATTTAACGGAAGTAAAATTGTGTAATTTTATTAGCCGCGGCTGACGTCATAAAGCAATAATTTTGATGTTTAAAAACGATTGAAATTAATTTTTCGCTTGATTACATTTTGTGAAAGATTGGCCCCAAACCTTGATCACTTTATGGCATTGGCCCCAATAAAAAAAAATTATTAGCGGAACCAAATGTCAGGGATGACCTTCACCTTGGCTGACAGAAGTTTAAAATCATTTTTGAGGTGTAGAACTGTCTATGTTTAATCAGCCACTTAATTAAAATGTAAATAACTTTTAATTAGCCACTTAATTAAAATGTAAATACCTTTTAATTAGCCACTTAATTAAAATGTAAATACCTTTTAATTAGCCACTTAATTAAAATTAATTAAAATGGGACGGAGTGGTCTAGCGGTAGAGAGCTGGACTTCTAACCCGTACGTCTCGAGTTCGAATCCGGGTTCAAGTCAGTAGACCGTTCCTGAGTCCACCCAACTCTGATGGGTACCTAACTCACGTTAGGGAAAGTAAAGGCGGCTGGGCATAGTGCTGACCACACTATCTCTTCATATGCCGAGGTCACAGAAACAAGTGAACTCTACTTCACTTGCCCCATAGACCGTCAGGTTTGAAAGGGAAACTTTACTAACTTATTTAAATTTAAATACCTTTTACATTATTAAATTACGTTACTTCCCAGGGGAAGTAAGGCTAGTACTTATGTAGCGATGTATGACCGGGAGGAGGGGGGGGGGTTAAATGATAAAAAATTCGTGACGTCGTTCGTGTGATCAGGCTTGTCATAGATGATAGATCTGATACGTGTTGCATAGGTCTGTCACATATCTGTCATAGGTCTGTCATAGGTCTTACATAGGTCTTTCATAGGTCTGTTATAGATCTTACATAGGTCTGTCATAGGTCTTTCATAGGTCTTTCATAGGTCTGTTATAGATCTTTCATAGGTCTTCCATAAGTCTGTCATAGGTCTGTCATAGGTCTTTCATAGGTCTGTCATAGGTCTTTCATAAGTCTATCATAGGTCTGTCACATGTCTGTCATACGTCTGTCATATGTCTTACATAGGTCTGTTATAGGTCATCCGTAGGTCTGTCAGAGGTCAACTGTAGGTCTGTGTTAAAATGACCTTTAGCCTTTCTCTACCTAAACCAATCAGTATACTGTATGTCTGTGTGCAAACTAAACGCCTGCTAAATCACATTAACTTAACGATTTGTTTCCGTCTGTCCAGCACTACACACACACACACACACACATACACACACACACAAACACACACAGAGCAACAACCGATATCCTTAATTAGGATTATTCATTCGAAAATGACCCACTCCATACCCAATCAGTGAGTACCAACTGCCACTAACCTTGACCTACAACTAAAATTGACCTCTCCGCCCATGTCCAATGGCTCTCTCAAGCCCGTGACTTTTGTCAGGGGCAAATAACCGAGATAATAGAGTCACCGGCCCTGGCGTGGAAGGGAGACAATCGAATCTTCACTCCGATAACACGATTCTATTCATCACAGCACCTACACAAAGCCAAATTAGTTTTTTTTTTTACTCCAGCTGGAGGTGACTTCAACACTGGAACATTTTCCAGTTAATTAGTTCATCGTCCAGATCCTAATTTTAGAGCTGCTCATTTATTTTTTTAACTAATCCCCCGATCTCACGTTTTCAAACGAAATATAAAATTAAACACTAGTTGTACCGTGTACCCCCTTGACCAAAATATTTGTTATGAGACTATTTTGTTTTTAAATTCGAAAATATGTAATTCTAAATATATTAAAATTGTTGATTTTTATTTGTAAAATTTAGGCTTAATTTTTTTTAAACGAAAACTTAAAATTCAAACAATATTTTTTGTTTCTTGAAATATTGTTATCAATTCGACTGAGTTGATAGCATATAAAAATGTGTATAGTTAAAGCACTCAGTATAGACGTGAACGCCCACGCTAGTGCAGTAGAGAACAGATGTTCCATTAGACAGGTGAAGTAGAGTCGATCTGTTTTTTACCTCGATATAGGATGGGATGGTGTGGTCAGCACTGTGCTCAGCTGACCTCACGTCTCCCCGAGTCAGGTACTCATTTCAGCTGGGTGAACTCAGGGACGCCCCTTAACAGTGCACTGATCTCTGGTCTTAAGGGTAATGATCTATGCTCTACTACTATACCACTCCGTCCCATACTCTTTGTGTGCTGTGTCTCAAGAACCTTAACTCTGTCCTTGATCGGAACCAACTTAGTGGTATTTTACCACAGATCTGATGCTACATCATTACATACCGGACGCCACACAACTACCTCGTTATTCTGTTAAGCTTCATGAAATGATTCCTCGTTGCCATTTTTTAAAGACTAAAATTTAATTGTCTCTTGAATTAATTAAAATATTAAACCGCCACGCGCCATGTCATGTGACTGTGAGACAGTTACCCGTTACCCCAGCCCACCCCCCTTCCCGACCCCCCCCCCCCCACACTGCCACAGTTCCCCGTCTGGACCCCCTGATAACGCGCCACTTTTATCGATTGCCTGATTGAAAGACAAAACGCATTAAGCACTCACCACAAATACTAAACGAATCATAATGAAAATGTAGTCTGTCCTAATCTCCCACGATAAGAGCTCACAATCACGCACGCGCACAAAGTTCTTAGGCCGGATAACCGCCAGAGTTCTTCCGCCGTCGGGGGCTTCTTGGGGGGAGGCAATTTCCTGCGCGCATCTTGCGCGAGCTGGGATGAGCATGGAGTGATAAGGCCAATCGAATTACGCCCAAACAGCTCACGTGTTGGGCTGTGTTTGTGTTGTGCTTCAAGTCCATTACGTCGACAAGTTGCTCAGTCGTCAGTAGTTTCAAATCAAGAGAGCTTCATGCTGGAGGCAGGGGGTCAGGGTGTGTGGTGGTGTCATATTGTCAGGGAGTGTGGTGTCATATTGTCAGAGTGTGGTGTCATATTGTCAGAGTGTGGTGTC